TTTCACTGTGTCCCATATTTTCTGGTATGTTGTACCAGCGTTGTCATTTGGTTTGTGGAACTAAATTCTTCCTTGATTTCTTCTGTGACCCATTGCTCATTCAAGAGGGCATTGTTTTATTTCTGTGTGTTTGCATAATTTATGTGATTTCTTTTACCAGTGATATCTAGTTTAATTATACCATGATCTGATAGTATACATGAGATAATTTTGATTCTTTTGCATTTACTTAAGCATGTTTTGTGAGCTACATGGTCTATTTGGAAAAAGTCCCATGTGCTGCTGAGATGTATGAGATGTATGTGTGTTCTGTTGTTGTTGGGTGGATCACTATTTATATATCTATTAAGTCCATTTGTTAGAAGGTTTGATTCAACTCTGATATATCTTTGTTGATTTGTTTTTGTACTAGAGATCAAACTCAGGACCTTGCACTTGCGAGGCAGGCGGAAGAACCACTGAACTAAATCCCTGGGACCCTTTAGTGAATTTTTTTTTTCCTATTTGACTCATCTATTTGTAATGGTAGGGTATTGAGGTTTCCATTATAATTGTTTTGGTGTTATTTTGATCTTTTATGTCCAGTTGTTTTATGTAGTTGGGCAAACCAATGTGAGTTTCATATATTTTTAAAATTAACAGTTATTCTCTTAGTCAATATGTTGTGACCCTCTTTGTCTCTTCTGATCAGTTTTGGCTTGAAATACTCAAAAGTGTGCTTCTTTTCGGGGTTCCTATTGAAGGGAATATTGTTCTCTATTTTTTGATTTTTAATTTGTATATTTCTTTTTGGATGAAATGTGTTTGGATGAAATGTACATCATTGGTTATGTTTCTTGACCCATTATGCCAATTCATGTCTTTTGATTGGGAGAAGTGAGACCCTTTACACTGGTAGTTACTATTGATAGGTATTGACTTTTTCCTGTCATTATATTATTTTTCTGCCACTGATTTCCTTTTTTTCCTCTTTTTTTTTCTGCTTTATTGCTCATCCTGCCTGGTGTACTCCCTCTATTAGATTCTGAGCGGGAGGCCTTGTTGGCTTTCTAGGACATCCTTGAGAATTTTTTGTAGTGCTGGTTTGGTGGGCATAAATTTCTTAGGTACTCTTTGTCATGGAAATACCTAGTTTCTCTATTTTTTTTTTTAGTTTTAATTCAGTTTATTGATACATTTTAGGTATACAGTACAGTTACATTCATTATTGGGATCTTGTACCTTCACATGACAGGTCTCTATCAATTTTTAAAGAAACTTGCAGGATATATAATTCTGCATTGGAAGTTGATATCGCTTAGGTCTTGAAATACTTCACTCCAACCTCTCTTGTCCTTTAAATCTTGCGTTGAGAAGTCTCCTATAATTTTAATAGGCTTACCTTTATAAGTGATTAATTGCTTTTCTCTAATAGCTTTTAAGATTCTGTCCCTGTTGGATTTCTAAGATTTTGACTATGATATGATGTGGAGAAGTTCATTTTTGATCGTGGTTATTTAGGGTTATATATGCCTCCCTTATCTAAATGTTGAATGCTTTCCTTCTATTCTGGAAAGCTTTTTGCTATTATTTTTGTAAGCAGGTTTTTCATGAACTTTCTGCTGTCTTTTGATTTTTCACTTACTTTAATTAATCTTAGATTAGTTTTCTTTGTATCATCTATTAGTTGTTAGATCCATTTTTCATGTTCTTTTTTTGACTTTAAAGGTATCTCTGAGTGATTGTTGTTTGAGATCATCCCTATCTTCTCATTCTGATATTCTGACCTCACATTGGTCACTTCTGCTGCCCGTACTTTAATATAATTTTTCATCTCCTGGATATCTCCTTGCAACCTTTTCATGGGCTCTGATTCTTTGTTGGTTATAAACATGTTCTGTACCATTTTGTTTCACTCAGCTACCTTTTTCAAGAGTGTCTTCTGCAACCTCCCTGTTTCATTTATTATACTTATTATTTGTTTAATTATATCTTTTCGAGTCAGCTGAGCACCTTATTGATCTGTTTTTCAATTTTTACGTTATCCTGTTATACTTTCTAATAATTCAGCTGAATGGCTTTTGCTTTCCTCCCTCTTGATGCCCCTAATTTCAACTTTGTGGGTGTTGGCAGTTTTGGGAGGCATTTTCTTCCCTTTCTTCTAATGTTTCTGTTATTTTTTTCTGTTTGTTTTGTTTTATGCTTAGGTTTGTGGTCACATAGTGGAAAGACTTTGTTGCTAGTATGGAGACCTCTTTAGTTAGTTTGCTTTTTAGTGATATATTTAGGGATAGCATCGCCTGCTAGAGTCCTTTGCCTCTATCTCAAGATCTGACCACCTTTGTTAGTTTGGGGAGGAAGCAGTGTAATTAGATTGGTACCCATTTCTCCAGGAATGGGTCACTGTATTGTTAATGTCACAAAGATATTCTGGATATTGGCATACAGAAAAAAATGTATTAATAGTAACAACTGTAAGACTCTGTATTGAAGAAATCAGCCACAGTAATATTGTCCAAAACAAAATGGATATTGACATACCATAAGAACTGATAACATACTACCTTTAACCTTAGAAAAGATATCTATAATTATAGCATAAACAGTAAGAAAAAATATTGACATACAGAAAATATTTACTAAATGCAGTAAATAACTAGACCTTCACTAATGATAGAAAATAATTCAACAATAGTAACATTGTTAACTAGCTATCTAAAAATCAATAAATCTTAATGGTTATACTTTTAAAGATAAAAAGGGTTGGAAATGGGAGAATTCAAAAAGAAATTTTGAAAAATTAAACAGTGGGTGATGAAAAGGAAGGGAAAAAGTGAGACAAAGGATTGTATTAAGGAGTATAAGGATATTTATAGAATTAGATAAAGGTAACAAAAAAAATAAATGAGAACTAGGAGACAAAAAACTTGAAGAAAAATATGGATAATAAAAAATAGAAAAATTAAAAACATTAAAATAAAAGAAGAAAAAGAAGACTGAAAAAGAAAAATTCCCCAAATCTGAATAACCACTGAAGAAGAGAAATGAGAGAAAAAAAGGAAGAGAATCCAAAAATAGAAAAAAAAATTGTTTTCTCTCTCTCTATATATATATTTTTTGTTTTGTTTTGTTTGTTTTTTTGGTACAGGGTATCCAACTTGGGACCTTGTGCTTGTGAGGTAGGTGGCAGAACCACGGAGCTAAATCTGCGGCCCTTTCTCTGTATTTTTGAATGAGTAGTTTCCTTCCAAATTTCATAGTTTTAGAGTTTAGTAAGTCATGGTTTTCTCTGCCTAGCCTTACAGTCTGTGGGTTTGTGTGCCCAGCCCTGAGGTCCCTCTGTTTACCCTAGGCTGTGGCAATGTGCATGCTAAGTTGTGTCCTTGCTTGTGCTGCTAGATAGGAAAGGCAATCGTACCGCCTATCTGTGCTGTATGTAGCAAGCAAGGCAGGGGTTCAAGTACTTAATGCTGGCATTTTCAAATCCATCTGTTTCTGAGCACATCTCAACTGGGCCTGGCTTCTCACCACTGAGGGTGCCTGCAGCTTTCTGCTGTGGCTGTCTCTCACCAAGTCACTGTGGGAAGGTAACACTGGGAACCCTGATGAAAAGTTGTTTTTTGATTGTTCTGAATTCTTAATTTAAATAATGAACTTCTTCCTGAAATGGTGCCTGATTAAACACTCTCTGACAATATGTTGAGTGCCCATGCTGGAATCCCTCTCACTGTTGCCTGTTATGTGCAGAGTCCCCTCCGAGAAAAACCACATACTCATTTTGCAGTTCACAATATCCATAGCTCATGCCACCGCCCAGTTTATCACTGTCTCTTCCTGGATCTGCTAAGCCTGAGTGCTTACCTTGCTTATGTAGAGCCAGGTTCTCCTCCCCATGAGCTATGAGATGGGGAGAGAGTCCAGATTGTTTAGTTATTTTATATGCATTGTGGATTATCTCTCCAGCTTTTCTATAGCTTCTAACTTTTCAGTCTCTTCCCTTCTGATTCCCACTGAACTGTTTTACTTTTTTTTTTTTTTTTTTTTTTTTTTTTTTTTTTTTACTTAGAGAGGCTGACTTTTGCTCCTGATCACTGCTTCAGCATTTCTCCTTGTGGTTGTTATTTTAAGCACTAAGTTTTGGAATAACTGTCCAACCTGTCTAGTATGCCAAAAATCCTGCAGTCCCATAATAACTACAGGATCATTGGATGCCAACATAGGGAAGGGAGTGATGAAATAGGAAGCTGCTGGAGGAAGAGGAGGGAGTCGAGGCCACAGAGAGAAGGGCACTGAAAGAAAAATCTTGAACTGCTTGCCAGTTTGGCCTGGGGCTAGTTACAGCAAGAACAGCTGTGTTTAGGTCAGCAGTTCCAATGTTGTTTTATAGCTACGAGATTTTCCTTAGGTGGATCTGCTTTGAAATAGCATTCTAATGTGGTGCCAAATAGAATGAAGCCAAAGCTACATGTTCTGTTCTCCCATGGTCACTTTGGTTTTGTTTCATGTCTAATGACTGCTAACCTTGAATATCAATATGTATGTATAGGCTGCCTTGAGAGAAACCAGGACAGATTCACAAGTCCAAGTGTACTCCTGAAAATGTGCTTGCTTGTTTCCTTGCTCATGGGGAGTCAGAGAAGTCATTATCATGTAGGAAAGATATGGCATTTTAAGCATTTATCATTTCATATGGCAAGATTGTTTTCCTCTCCAGTATCAAGAAAAACAAACCATCAAACACTGCCTTTGTTGGGCTGGGAATTAGCTCAGTGGCACCGCACCTGTCTTGCAAGTGCAAGGTCCTGAGTTTGATCTCCAATACTGAGAAAAAAAAATTGTCTTTGTTTCCTTTGTTCTTAAATCATAGTTCTTTTAAAGAAAAATGGAGGAATGAAAGCTTTCCAGGTCTATAAGTGGTTTTCAAAAGTAATATCTCTTTTATTAATGTGTATAGCATATAAAAGAGATATGATGAAGTATATTTGCCACATGAATATTACTTTAAGTAGCATTTTAATCATTGTAAGAGACAAGCCATTTTATTGCTTCTTGATATTTCCCATATAATATACAAATTAATGCATCTCACTTAATGGCAGCAGCGAGTTACATTATAAAAGTTTGTTATATAAAATTTTATTTTCTAAAAGAAAAAATGAAATAGTAGAAAAAATTTAATGTTCAAAATAGCCACAAAACACACTGCCCACCCTAGATATTTTGAGGTCTTTAAGAGTCTCTCTCTCTCTTTCTTTTTTTAAAATATTCAGTTCTAGTAAATATCACAGCCATACAGTTCCAAGCGAAGTGCAATACTCTGATTCCATGTTTTAGGAATGATGCGGATAAACCTAGAAATGATTGGTGGATTGAGAAAGTTCTTCACATGTCCCTTGACATTGCTGTTTCCTTCAAAAACCTGAAAGCAAAAGGAGAAAGATAATTTTCAGTGATGGTATAGTGGATATAAAAATCTGATAATTTTCCTATCCTTTTAGCTCAAACTGAGGGCATCAAATAAATACTACCATAGAAGTGACCATAAAGTAGTGATAGAATTGCTGCTGGACAGACCCATGGAGGCATTTTCATTTCACCAGTGACCTGAGTTAAATTAAAGAAAAATAAATCTGACACAGTGCTGTGTCAGCACATTCTAACAATTCTGAGACCCCTTTGAGCTGTGAGATTTTGTTTTGTTACCGGGGATTGAACTTGGGTCCTTGCGCTTGGCAAGGCAGGCCACTGAACCGCTGAGCTAAATCCCCAGCCCTTAGCTGTGAGATTTTGAAGAAGTTATATTCTCTCATTCTCCATTTCTTCACTGGCAAAATAGGAATGATAAAAATTTTACCTTGGAAAAGTTGTAAAATTTAAAAAATGGATGACAAGTTGTCTCATTAAGTGTCAGGTAGTAAGCACCAGTCAGTAATTAGCTACAAACATTTTAAATAAAATATGACCATGCATTTTGGTATATTTATCCTTTCTTAGAATGTGCTCTATATCCTCAACTAAACTTTTTAAAAATCCTCAGCAGTTTCTCCAAGATTTACAAGCAGCAGAAATGAAATCACTTATTTATGATAGTGGTGCTTACTTGGTGTGAACCCATCCTACTATAGTGAGAAATAAACTAACAGAGACAGAAAAGGGGTTTAAAAAGTGAGATAAGTGCTAAGCATTTGATGAGAATACATTAAATCTCAGTTCCCTTTTCCTACATTGCCCACTGTCTTTAGTCCAGTTTCCATTACTGGAATATTAGGCATATCTCCTTAGCTTTGTTCTTTTTTAAGCCACCTATTAGGATCTAGGATTTTTTTTTTGTTTGTTTGGTTTTGGTTTTGGTTTTTGGTACCGGGGATCGAACTTGGGCCCTTGTGCTTGTGAGGTAGGCAGTGGAACCACTGAGCTAAATCCCTGGCCCCTCCACTTATTTAGGAAGTAGAGAAAGTTAAGATTGTAGTGGACTAAAATAGTTTATTTTACCAGAAATTTATTCTCCCATCAGAAAGGATAATAATTTTTTTGTTGAGTGACAATATGGCATACAAAAGTTTATGATCTTGGGCATTTGACCAGTCATGAGTAAGAAGCGTAACCTAAGTCAGTGCTAACATGGCATTACTTCACAGTGGAAGGTTTTCAGGATGCCTTCAGCGTCTTTCTCAATCAGAGAGAATTAAACTTATTACCACCCTCTGACATTGTACCCTCACTGCTTTCATAGGTGGCTCAGTCAAGGCAGAAAGGTGACATGCACGATCCCTGTCTCCAAGACCAGGTGTCCGCAGAGCTAGGATTTAGAAGGCTTAAAGAGATAGCACATGTCAGCACATACTTGTTGATTGCAAAGTACTACTATTATTTCCAACACGGGACAGTTTTCAGAATGCTTTCTCTTTGCCCAGAAGCCAGCCCATACCTTTTCCATCATGGAGGATTTCTGCCTGTAAGGTTTCCATTCCATGCCCTGGTCACTGTAGTGAATGGTGTAACTCTTCACATACATTTCAGAAGATAGAGACTTGCAGCCCTGTGTTACAATCGCAGTTATCTTCTTGATTTTGAGCAGATCAATTTGTAACCACTGTTGGTGGTTATTTGCCTGTGAAAATGATGAAAACACAGGGACAAATACAAAGTTAAGACCTTGGCTATGCTTAGATCAAGCTCTTCAGAAAAGAACAGAGCTCCAAAGGATTTCTTTTATTTCATACACTCTGTTTTATTTTCTTTCAGAAGACTTCCATATTTTTTCTTGTTTGTTTCTGTAAGTGTACAAACTTCTGTTGATGTAGTTCATGCCTCACACAATAATTACTTGTTTCCTTCTTTTTATCAATTATTGTTCAAGGACAGGAGCTTTTAGTTTGGTTTTCTGGTATTATAATAAGGCAAGGCACACAGTTGGCGTTTGATAAATACTTGCTTAAGTGAATGAGTAAATTTTTCTTGAGGTGACTTCTAAATTTTCTATAAATATTCTCTTAAGCAAGTTTGTTTAAATACTATGATAATATTGTTGTGGGATTCTCTGGGGAAGAATTTGATAACATCTCTCTATTTAACATATTTTACAACAGCCCACCTTTTCTTTCCACTGCTATTGTTTTTTTCCCACTGCTATTGTTAAATAGGAGAAACATAGTTTCTTATTTTCTAAAATTTCAAATAAATGTAATTGAGAGTTGATAGAGCTGTAAGTAGGGTTTATACACATCATAGTAACTGTCCTGTCCCTAATTTAACAGAAGGCCTAATCATGTTCAGTGATTATTTGGAGCACTTGGAGAAAGAAAGTCGGAAGGATTAATTGATTTTTGGAGTTATCTGAGGTGAGTTTTCACCTTTGAAAGACTAATCATGCCCAAGAAGTCTCACTGAATTTTTTATGAAAGAATAAATATTGATGTATTTCCTCACCATCATCATTATTCTGTGACTATATGTATATGCTTTTTTACATGCATGTATATTTTTATATGTGTGCATTAACATGATGTAAGTATTTTTAAAAGCCAATTAATTGGATTAAAATGATTGTAGTAGAACCTTTTGTTAATTCTCTGACATCCTCTAGTGACATCTGGGTGATATCTTAATTGCCTTTCCAAATCAGTGCGTTACCAGTGATACAGAATATAGATAACTAGAGGATTTTTGCAGGCATAAGTGAGTTGGGGACACTTTAGTCAGGAAGAAGTGGACTGGACATCCTCTGGCATGTGTCTAGCTTTAAGTTTCTAAAGAAACTATAAACATATCTCAAATGAATAAAAGATTAAATGAAACAGATGTGTTTAGATTTAAGAATTTAGATTAAGATGACAGCATTAAAAGAAATGAGCATTTCATCTTTCAGCTTCTTTTTATACTACAAACACTAAGAACAAACTACTTTTGGACTAATTTTTTAAGGTTGTAAAATGGAGAGTGAGAGAGGATTGGGTGACATTTCTTTATTATTTATATCATTATCTAAATATAATATGTTTTAGTTATTTTAACTTCTCTGGGTGTCAATTTTCCTCTTTGAAAAGTTGAAAAATGAGGTGTTTGGGCTGCTTCAAATAGAAAAACTACCTGCTGCCTGTTTACTGGGAAAGGAATTCCAGTTCTGATTCTACCACTAAACTAAACTAAAATCACTTAATTTATTTGTATTTAGACTGAAAAGGAAAAGTACCGAGCAAAGGTTTCATAAGCTGCCTGCCACTGTAGTATTCTGTGATGCCGTGGTGGGCCAGAATGAGACTTGAGGCCCAGAGAAGAGTCTTCAAGACTGTAGGGTACTTGCACCACAGTTCTCTTTTCCTTTTTAAGTGGTCTAACTTAAAGACAAGACCTGGGCTTCTACAGAGAATCCAGGGAACTGGAATGTAGGCCTCTTAAGGTAGGAGAATGGAGGATACTAAAGAGGGAATTTGGATTTAGTTGGCTGCAGGGATCATTAAATTATTCAGGCCATTCTGATTCCTCAGGTAAATTAAGAGTGAAAAAAAAAAGCAAATAAACTGTGAACAGTTACCCTAAAGTTAGGTCATGGATTCATATCACAGGGAAAGTATAACTCTCTGGAAGTGTTTCTTTAACTTAGATCACTGATTTATAACTGGTTGTACAACATTTTACCATGCCTCCAGTCATTTCCAGGATGTCTTAAAATATGCTTTTGGAAATGGGCACAAAAAAGTTTAAATGGCCCTTTTAAGAAAATGAAGAATATTGTTAAATTGTGAAGAAACAAAATAAGAAATGTTATAAACCTAAAGCATTTATCACTGATGTTGTCTGTGCAACGAATTGGAAACCACAGCCATGCTAATGTATTTATGTATTTGGCTCTTTTCCTGCTACAGTGGGCAGAGGTGAGTAGTTATGTTTGGCCTATCAAGCCTAAAATATTTTTTTTCTCTGAGTCTTTGCAGAAAAATGTTGTCTCTTAAGGTTTAAATCAAGGCTAGACTAAGAATTACAGACATGATAAATGACTTTTCTCTGAACTAAAGCTATTGATTCTGCAGATGTCTTAGATTCTCAGACCTTGGATTTTCATCTGAGATACAGGACACCATACTCCTGCTTCCCAGATCCCCCCTGTTCCCTGTGGTGGGACTACTATTTCCTGTCTTTGTGGTGGGACTTCCTGTTTCTACTGCGAGGGGCTGAGAGTAGTTCATTCATAAGGTCTATATCACCTTGGGTTGCCAGGCATTCACTCGGCCCTGGGCATTAAGGCGGGCACAGGAGGGCTCCCAGTAATCTCCCCACCAGGATTTTTTAAACGAGAAGGCTGTGATCTGCTTGTTTTCTATCTTTCCATTTTCCATACCCAGTGGTGTGGAGCATCCTGTCAAGAGAAAGTCAGTGTGATTAATTACACAACACCAAAATTCTCTGCATGGTGTTTCACACTTCAAAGTCAATAAGAAATAACTTCACTACCAATTAACAACAAAAACTTATCACAGCAATGCATGTTCATTGAATTTAAGGGCCAAACATTGCTCTCAGGTGTGAATGTGTTCTTTAATGTTCAAAATTATCTCCATTTTACAAATGAGAAGACAAAAATTACACCGAGGCATATTTTATCTAACATAATGCAGCCAGAAGAATTGGAAATTGAATTTAAACTCATATAGTAGGTATACTAAATATTTAAACTCACTTTCCTTCCTTCAGAGAGTCATGGAAACTTCAAACCTTGCTTTGAGGCAGACAGTAAGTTCTAAACCATTCATATGCAGTCCTGTGCTGTATAATGTCCTTTCAGCTAATGACAAACCCCCCCCCCATGACAGTGGTTCCTTTAGGTTACAATGGAGCTAAAAATTCCTATTGCCTCCTGACATGTTAGCTGTCATAATAATAACACGACACATTGCCCACACATTTGTGGTGGTGGTGATGTAAATAAACCTAGTCGCATAAAAATATAGTGCATACAGTTGCGTATGGTACACAATACATGATAACGAGACTATGTTACTGGTTTATGTTTTTACTATATTTTTATCATCGAGAATGTGCTTCTACTTATAAAAAAAAAGTTTACTGTAAAACAGAATGGCCGGTTATGCTGGCAGTAGGCACACACATTTTACTGCTTCTCTTCATTACATCTCAGTTTATGTAGTTAACATATACTCGGTGACGTCTGCACAGTGAAACAGCTGCCTAACAGTGCAGTTTGGAGAACACATCCCTGTAGTTAAGAAATGCATGAGTGCATGGCTGTATTTTAAAAAGCACTGTTTCTTTTCCTAACAAAAGTCACAAACAAATATAGTGGAGTTTTGGTAGTCACCATCTAATATTATGAACATCCTGGGCAGCAAGGCCAATCTGTTAGCGTGAGAGGCACAGGGCTGAACTAGCCCAGTAACTGCCCATCACCTATGCCACTTTCATTTAGAAATTGACAAAACCCCTAAAAGGAACACCTCCTGCTAATGCAGACTATATGTAACAAGAAAGTAATGCTTCTTGTACAGAATGTGTGTTTCAGATAAATTAACAGTTGTATGCCGCATTTTAGGGTGGCTTGACTTCATGATATGTACATGTCCGCTGTTTATATCATATGCCATATGGGAAGAAAAAAAATCTTAATGCTTTATGGAGCTTTTTCAAAGAATGTTCCTGCCTGTAGAAAATTTCCATTTTATGTGAGAGATGTTATATATTACTGCTTTCTGCAAACATTCATATCCATATCCCTCATGAATGCCGAGTATACTGTACCATTGTCTACTTTGATAAAAAATGATGCCACGGTTCAGCTACTTTATCCTCTGAGTTACAGCTTTTTCCCCTACACCAAGGGAAGGTGCTTCAGCTTCCCAGCTGTGTGATGCAGCAGGTTTCCCCTGCATCTCTATACTGATTCCTCTACTCTTCAGTCCTTCAGCAGCCACCAGGGTCTGCTTCAGCTTGGGCATGGGGCCATTGCTATAGCTTCCTACCTCAGGATGCTGGGCAGATATTTTTATGCAGAAAAACAAAATGAAGAAAGCATTTTTAATGTTTTGCAGTGAAAAGTATTGGAAAGCATTGAGTTACAAGGTTATAAATTGAGTTATAGAAAAATAGGACTCTTTAAACAACATTGTTGTATGTAGTAGAATTTTACTAAGACCACTTATGATTATCTGGATTTATTTATGTCGTAGGCCATATTACATCCCCTGAAAAACAGCAGCTTATAAAAAAAGCATTTCAGTACCAATATAAGGCAAAAAAGAGGATGTAGAGGCACAGTTGTGGGTTCAGGAAGTTGGAAAGTAGATTCAGATTTCAAAAACATTCACTGAACAAGATATGCTAGTATTGTTGCTAAATACTTTCATTGCATTAAAGTCTAAGTAATCTACAAGGCATTGGAAGAATACAGCCCCCTTTGAAGCTCAAGCAGTTTTTATTGAAAATGGACTGTTGGAAGAGATTATGACCTAGGACCCTTCCTTAGAGGATCATGGTGGTATCTATATCACCTGGCATCATTCAGAAAGGTGCTGCCCAAACTCAGGCTGTCCACATGGAAGAGTTTATCTGAATGAACTCTCTGTTTCACAAAGACTTTTCTGGAGCCTAAGTCATTGAAGAGACCTAAGAATTCCTTGTATTTTCCCACACACCCCAAATCTAGAGTATGTGAGTATCAGCGAGAAAATAATGCATCTTTGTTCCTTACCATTAACCTCACAGCCTTGCAGCTCCAGTCGAAGGGTAGGTCTGTTATAGGATCTTGTTGGAGATATCCTAATGTATCTGGCCACAATAGGTGGGTCAAACTGATTCTCTTTTATTGTAGAGGCATCTGAATTGCCATCAAAATACTAGAAGGAAAGAGGAAAGCTTAGTAACAGTTCCCTATGAAGTGACTTTCTAATAACACTTTCATCTAGTTTAATATTGTAAAATTTTCATGCGGCCTGAATCAAATCAATTTGATCTTAAAAAATAATCAACAACTGGGATCTCATCTTACTAAAAAGCTTCTGTACTTCAAAAGAAACCATTAGCAGAACTAAGAGACAATCTACAATGTGGGAAAAAAATTTTACCAGCTGTACCTCAGACAAAGGACTATTATCAAGGATATATAAAGAACTCAAAACAATCAGTCCCCCCAAATATAAAGACCCGATCCAAAAATGGGCATCCGAAATGAACAGACATTTCTCATACAAAGAAGTGAAAGCAGCAAGAAAATATATGAAAAAATGTTCCACATCACTGGTCATTCGAGAGATGCAGATGAAAACAACACTGAGATTCCACCTCACCCCACAAAGAATGGCTGCTATCAAGAAATCACACAATAACAAATGTTGGCGGGGTTGTGGGGAGAAAGGAACCCTCCTCCATTGTTGGTGGGAGTGCAGACTAGTGCAACCACTATGGAAATCAATATGGAGATACCTCAAAGAGCTTGGACTGGAGGTTCCATTTGACCCAGCCATCCCTCTGTTGGGTATCTTTCCAAGAGAACTAAAAGAATCATATCACAGAGAAGTATGTGCACCCATGTTTATAGCGGCACAGTTTGTAATAGCTAAATCTTGGAAACAACCTATTTGCCCATCCGTTGGAAACTGGATAAAGAAGTTGTGGTTTTTCTATAAAATGGAATATTACTCAGCCATAAAGAGCGAGAGAATAGATTCATTCATAGGAAAATGGATACATATTGAAGATATACTCCTAAGTGAAATAAATAAGTCCCACATGTGTAAATACCAAATAGTTTCCCTGGTGTGAATATTCTGCAACAATGCATAAGATTCTAATAAGATTACTGACATTTAGAAATGGGAGGAAAGGAGCTAAAGGTGTAGGGAAGGTGTGATACGTAGGGGAAGAACAAAAAGGGAAAAGAAAAAAATGTGAGAGAATGAAAAGATGAAAATAAAGTGTTTGTAGATGGGGAGGGGAGGAGGGGGTGAAGGGAGGGCAGAGGTAAGGGGAAAAAAATGAGAATCAAGACTTGCCATGTAGAGGTACAAGATCCCAACAATGAATGTAACTGTACTGTATCCCTAAATGTACCAATAAACACAATAAAAAAAAATAATTGACGATACTTGTACATCCAGGAAAATGAGGTACTTTGCCCTGTGGCTCCTGCTATGTACAACTACATACCCTAGATACAAATATAATAGAAACAAGACTCTGAACAGTGGAGAGGGGAAAGGAGACAGAAAGGACTTCTCAGAACCCAAGGGAAAACATGGTGGTAGCTTCCCTGGGTTTGGGTTTTCCCTTATATATCCTCATCCTGGAGATGAAGAAGCCAGCATCCTGCAAACACCAATGGATACAGAAAAACAGAAAACAACACCCCAACCAAAGCACCAGGAAAGGACAGCTGAACTGAGCAGAAAAGGTTCAGATGAACCTTTGCGTATGAGCCAAAAACCACAGAGGAAAAAGGTAGCTCATCCCTAAACTATAGCAGGAAAGGCAGAATGGGGAGACTTTTACGCTTGTGAAGCTAAAGAGGTTCACCAACATCCTCCTTAGGGCTATGTCAGAGAAATCCAAGAAGGAACCCAGGACTTTCATCCCCTCCAGCCCCCAATGATGCTTCTGTCCCTGAAGGATCAGTAGAAACCACATGGGGAACTCAGTTCCCACCTAGCTGCAAAGAGGAGCACCCCGTAAGGTGCCCAGGGAGGCAAGTGGGTGATCTCCTTCCACCAGGCAGGACAGACAGGCTGTGCCCTGTCCTCTTGCCAGAGCATTGTCTGAAAAACAGCTAAAGCAGATGAGCAGACATCAGTAAGATTGAAAATAGAAAAAACAGAGAAAAATCCATAAAATAGCTGGTTCTTGGAGAATATAAAATAGACAATCTTTAGTAATACCAAGAAAAAAAGAAGAGATACAAATTATGGTGTCAGAGATGAAACAGTATCACTATTCAACCCTGCAGATATAGAAAGGAGAATAAGATACACTGTGGAGGAAATGGACAATTCGTTTTAAAAAAACACAAAGCATCACAACTTACCCAATATGAAATAAATAACTTGAATATCCCTATAACAATTAACAAAATTAAATTTGCAAATTATCTCCTCAGAAAAGAAATCTGCAAGTCCAGTTAGTTTTGCTAATCATTTTTTCCAAATAATTAAATAATGAACACCAGTTGTAGAAATTTCTCTTAGAATATAGAAGGGCACAGTTGTCATCTTTGTATGCAAGGTTAGTATTGCCATGAAATCAAAACCAGAACTAGGCAGTACAAAAAAATAGTAAGAAAACCACACAGTGATATTCCTCGTGAATGTAGATGCAAAAAATCTTTAGGCTACTAATTCAACTGCTATCTGTGTTCTCTCTCCTAATATTGATTGGTACAAACCATAATTGAGAATTTTCATGGCTTGATCTAAGGTGTATTACAGATAACTAATTATTAAAATTACCTAAATGATAATATAGAGAAATGTTGAAATACTGAAGGATTTACATAAGATACAAATTGACACAGATTCAAGGTTACTGGTCCAACAGTTGCATTAAGGTTTCTCTTTGTTGGGGAGGGTGGCTTTGAGAGGAGAGGAAGAGTTTGGGTTCTTGGCTGAGCCCAAGGAAGACCCAGCAGGGGACCATCATCCCTCAGGCATGGCTCCAAATAAATCTGAAAATTATAGTGCTTCACAGTGTCACTGGCATCAATACTACTATTTCCTTCAGGTATACTGGAATCAAAAACCAAATAAAATGTAATAGTAAAATCAAAGCTCTTGACAAATTTGTAGTATAAGCTTGAGATATGAGACCAGATATTTTATTCTGTACACAATCTGCCAATCTAGCGGGGGTTTTAAAAAAAATAACAAAGTGATACTCTTCAGGCTTTGTGGAGTTTTGAAGTCTCAGTAGTTCTGGTTATCCCTGTAATTTGGAATACACAGACTGCCATCATATTACCACTTTCTTCCATGCAAGCCTTAGAAAGGTCTTCACATTTCCTAGACAGCCTAGGGTGAGTCCTGCAGTTAGAGGGAAGTGTATCCACATACCATCACTTGCTTCGTGCTGTTTCCTTTGAAGATCTGCCAGCTGGTGCGGTCAGAACTGTAAGCCACATAGAACTCGGTGGTGTAGCAAGACTTGAGGTAATGTTTGGCACCCTGGGTCTGGATCCCCGTGATGACGACTTCTCTTTGCATGTCCACCTGCAACAGAGGTCAGCTGTCAGCAGAGATGACCTTGTATATGAATCACATCCCGCCATAACCCACAGCACAATCTCTCTCTTAAGAATGAAAGATCCAACACCTCAGGTTTTCTGTTTGTGTTTTAATCGGATTTTTTATTAATACATGTTTGCAGTACATAATGTTTATGTACCTTATGTGGAGCTGGTACATGCACATAACACAACTTAAATCCTTTTTCATTCCCTGTCTCTCCTCCCCGCCGTTCCAGGTGTTGATCCCCTTACCATTTGAGAAAGATCTAACTCCCCACTTCCTACTATCTGTCACTTCTTTTAGCCAAGTGGTAAAATGATTAGATGCAGTCTAAACCTGAGCGCAGCCTGAACTTGAATCCCAGTTCGACCACTAAGTACCACTGTGCTACTTTGATCAAGTTAACATCTTTCTGCCTTGGATTTTTTAATCTATAAAATGGAATGTTACTCAGATCCATCCTCACAGCATTGATTCTGAGGCTGTAAAGTTCTTAGAGTGGTGCTCAGTGACTAGTGGTTTCTATTCCCCTAATCCACAAGAAAAACATGAAGAAATTATTCAATCACTGTCATGTCTATTATTACAATCACCATAAATATTATCAGACTAAATAGACGAACCTGGATCCAAGGTTTAGAGGCGGTTTCTAATGCGTTTTTTTCTACACTCCAAGCATTATATGATCCAGCATTGTTTAATCTTGCTAATTTGGGCTCCCAATAACCTAAACTCAAAGGAAGAAAAAAAAATCTTATGAAGAAGATATTTTTTTCCTAGTACTAGGGATCAACCCAGGGCCTATGCACTGAGCTACATCCCCAGCTCCTTTTTAAATTTTTATTTTTTGAAATGTCTTGTTAAGTCATTATGTTGCCTAGGCTATACTTGCATTTGTGGTCTTCTGCCTCAGCCTCTCACAGTGCTGAATTTTAAAAAGATAGCAATTTCTCAATTGATTTTAGTCCAGCAGAAAACCAGATCCTTGAAGGACCTGTGTTACAACTAGGAGACCAGGTGGTTAGCATGGGCCTTGACAACCAAACCAATTCTTGGTGATGAAATCTTGGCTTCAGGTCTGTCTGTGTTTGGTTAGCTGTCCACCCACTCTGTCCTGCCCAAAGGTCCTGTTTGCCTTCCCCGGGTATGTTGATATAGCTGCTGCTGACCGTGTCTGCCTAACAGGAAGACAGCAGAAGGGTTGTGGGAGCCTCATTATCTTCTTGATGATCGCCTCTTGATCTTGGAAGGGATTTGAAGCAGAGGGAGGAAACTTATTTAGCAGTAGCTCCTGACATACAGTGGGTGATCAATAAAAATAGATGAATAGCTGGGGATGTGGCTCAGTGGCACTGCACCTGCCTGGCAAAGCTCAAGGTCCCATGTTCAATCCCCACTACCAAAAAAAAAAAAAAAATGACTGTCACAGGTGAGAGGTCATGTTAGAGGGGACTACAGCTCTTACATCATAAGACCCTGTGAACCTGGCTGCAATATTATATGTGTGGTAAGAAAAGATCAATGAAGAGTTTTGGAAATTGCCACATAGTCAAAAGAAAGCGACCTACTCCTGCCCCGATCCCTGCAGAGACTGATCTGCCTGTATAGAGATTCCAGCCATGTCTTAGTTTTCCCTGGTGGGGGGCACTCCTTGGTAATAGTATATGCCGGGGGGACAGTGACGAAAACATACTAATAGGCTTTAAGGTCCTGCCATAGGGATGCCTTCCTCTACTATATAATACCCCAAATAGAACTATTTTCTTATATTTTGGTCAAGGAAAGCCTGGAGAAGAGAAATGACCTAAAGCCAGGGTTGTCGTGTATGAGTCCTACACTTGATCTTAGCCAAAAGGCCAAGAAGCAATGTCATGTATGGTTTCTTAGGCTGTATACTGCACAATAGTAGTTGACAGTCACAGGCTGTGATGAGACTACTTACGCAGATATTCAGAAGCCTTCATCTGTGAATCAGATATAATTCCAGTGCTTAGTCCCATTGGCATCTTACAATCTATGAAAAACCAAAAACATGAATAATTTTGGCTTAGAAAATACTTAAAACAAAGTAAAACTCCAGGCTAAATCTTATGCCTTTGATGAGTCATTTATTACATATTTTTATTCACTTTGTGTGACACTGACTTAACTATGTCTAATTATAATAAATGTTCTAGTAAAATTGGCACTTTAATGGAAAGTGGACACCATAAAGGAAAAAAAAAAAACATCAGAAATCTTGAAATGCAACTGGTTTTAAATCTGTTTTCCATCCTCTTGAATCTTAAAGTAAGCAATTTTACAACATTAACTACTTGTACCTCTTGAGACTATGGTCTCAAAAGTCGACTGTTTAATTCCAAGGCTTTTTACATCTTGATTAAGGAAGGGAATACCAGCCACTGGGGTACTTCAGTGGCAGAACAGTAGATATTCGTTAGGTGCTTAGTAAAGCTTTGCTAAATGGATGGATGGACAGAGGGAAACTGTGTTTTTGAATATTAAAACACCCACGTTCAGCAACTGCCTCAGCATTGTTGAATTCTCACTCCCGTTTTCCTCCTCTACGAACATGGAGAATTTCTTACATGGAGCACAAATTATGAGGAAAAGTGCTTTCCAGTGGTTTCCCGACAACAAGGAACACCTTTGATGTAAATCATTTGGTTGAAGTCTTTTAGTTCAGGGGTCCCCAGCCTGGCTGCATAGCAGGAGGTGAGCAGCCAGTGAGGGAGGGAAGTTTCATCTGTATTTATTTACTCCCCATGGCTTGCTTTACCACCTGAGTTCCGCCTTCTGTCAGATCAGTGGTGGCATTAGATTCTCATAGGAGCATGAACCCTACTGTGAACTGGTGCGTGTGGGGGAGCTAGATTCACAAATCGAAAACTGTCTTCATGAAACCAGTCCCTGGTACCACTGTTCCAGATGACTGATATATATTTTATTGTAATCAGACTGTGGTCCAGAATAAAAACAACTATAGCTATAAATTATGCCTTTGTCACATCAGAGCTGTCAATCAGTGTTGAACACTTGCAATATAAAGTAGGCAATATTCCAGCTACAGGCACTTTTAAAATAATAAATATTATGCATCTCTTGGGTGATACCTTTGTCTATGATGAGAAATGGTGTTTGCATCCCTGCTCTCTGATTTTCTCCAACCTCTGTGTCTAAGAGCCACCAACCAGCTTTTGATGCCTTCATTTCAAGTGTTTTAAATGAACCTAGAATAGAGAGTTAAGGACAAAATATAAACTCAAAGATTAACAGGCCCGTCTGAACTTCTGTACCAATGTCTGAGGCAGATTAGTGTCATGATTTTCCCACCCAAAGTCCTGTAAAGGACTGCCTTTCATTAGTTCCTCAGATAGCATTTGTAGAAGGGAGGCTGATTGTTAAAAATGTAGAATCCAGGAGCAGGGCCTTGTGGCACATGCCTGTCATTCTAGCACTCTAAGAGGCTGAGGCAGGAAGATTGCAAGTTCAAGCCAAGTCTGGGCAATTTAACAAGACTTTCTAAAAAAAAATTTTTTTTAAGTCATAAAAGAACTAGTGATGTTGCTCAGTGCAAAGGTCCTGAGTTCAGTCCCCAGTGCTGGGGGGGAAAAAAAGCAGAGTCCTTTTAATTCTATCCAAGATCCACTTAATTAAAGTCTCTGTGAGCAAAATCTCTGCTTTTAGTATATGAGTTTTAACCAGCTTCCTTGGTTTTTACTGTGAAGTTTGCTAATCAGTGGCTCTAGATCTTATGTTCCTACTCATACACCTACTACAAAATACACCTATTAACTTAGGGGCACATCTAAACCCTTTCTGGTGATTGCATTTCATTTAAACCTACATTTACTACTATCTTGCGCATGAAAATCTCTAAATACTTTTGTTATTCCCTAGCTTTAACAATTTTTTTTTAAAGTTCCCTTTTCTTAAACAGCCTCAGATGTTATTTCAAAATTGATTCCTAGAGTTAATTACCTACCAAAAAAGGTCAGGGGTAGCCAAGAGTAGAATTCAAGAATCCAGAAACCTTAGTAAGTTTCTAATCTCTCCCCCAATAGAAAAAACTGAAGCTGCCCACACTCCAAATTCATTTTGTGATTTGCTTGAGATCTGATTTGCACACGGGCTTGGGAGACCTCTGCAGAACCAAGTTGGGTCACGCATTTAGCCATATGGTTCTGCTACACAGTTCATGGCTTAGCTGACATTTTTGTGCGTTGATGGCAGTTTTGATAGTGGTTTTGCCCAGAATCTATGCCTGAATCCTGTGTTCTGACTTCTTAGGCAGTAGAAACACAAGAGAGAATGGGTGGCGGGGGGCAGATGCTAAGGTTGCCTTGTTATCCTTAGCAGAGACCTCTTCCATCCCCAGATCTTTACCAGGTAGAAGGGGCCAGACGCCCAGCTGGTGCTGTTGAGTGCCGTTCTCCAGCAAGGTCTGGCCATGAAAGTAAACCACGTGAATGTCTCTGGAGCCGCCCGTGTTCAGCAGGTGTAACCTCACCCACTCTTGCTCGTACATTCTCAGGCCCGGCAAGCTGTAGATCTTCCCATTAATGGCTGAAAGGACAGAGCGTTGCAATCAAGTGAAACCCTGCATATGCCAGGAGGAGGCTGATAAGGAGATGGGGCAACACCACATACTCCTCAGTGTGTGACCTTCCTGGGGCCCACGCAGGTGTCGAGGGCTTGTCTATGTCATAAGCCAGTGTGAGATGCTAGAACAGGACTTTCAGCTCCTCATGGCATTGCCACCAGCCTACAGAGGTGTGGACCAGCTCTCCTCCAACCAGGCTGTTGAGTGCCATTTCTTCTCCAGAGTCTACACCTGTCCCGACCTGTGCTTTGTCCATCTAGATTCTATGCATGTAGTGCAAATCTTGCTTTGCTACCAAAAGATCAAGACTAACATGGCAGGTCATGCAGACACCAGGATGAGAGGAAGGGCACAGGCAGGGTGTGGCTCCAGGTCCTTCTGAATTCAGAGACAAACAGTGGTGGACCATCTTAGGAAGCTGGAGTTTACCTGCGGAGTACCCACTAGCCATAGTGACTCATGTATTTTCTCAGATGGGCTCTCCGGCTGTGTCCACTTTCCCCTTAGGGAAATAGGTGTTTAATTTTTTTTACAACTTGCTCACCTTAAAGATATAACACAAAATTTTAATGATGAAGCTTCAGTTGGGTGCCCTTGAAATTATATCAGGTACAGGGACACCTGTCTACGACCATATATAGCTCCTATCCCTATTTTGAGTTTCTGTTGTGAGGTATAGATCTCATGAGAATGGAAGGCAAGTCAAGTGATTATTTGGAAGGGAAGACTCTCAACATAATAGGTACTCAGTAAACATTTGATAAGTTGCACTGAATGAGAGAATCCGCCCCTTTATTCACTGGTTCACATATTCATTGAGCACATATAACAAAGGCTAGACATGAAGCTTGGGGACGGGAATCAGGAGGTCTGCCTGTCACTTTAGTATCTTTAGGACTAAAGCTACAGTGGCTGTGTTTCACTCCTTGAGGAAATCAGTGCACAAGAGCTCAAGTGAGTAAAAGACACAACCAAGAGAAAAGTCCATCTAATTCTGCAGCCAGCCACTTTCCTAGTAGGCTGAGAGGTTTTCCAAAGGGTGGGCCTCCTGCTTCAGAGACCAAGCACACTGGGCCGAGGGGTTTACTGAGGGGAGAAGGGGGAAGGGAAGAAAGGGAGGGGAGGGGAGCTCAGAACAGGAGAAGAGAGCATGAAGGGAAGGAAGAGGAGACAGCTCTGCTTGTAGTCTCTCAATAGACTCTGCTTCAGATGTTTTCCTGAACTCTTAATATTTGAAAAACCTTTAATGTTGTTATGATAACGAGAGTTCATCCTTGGTGGGAACAGGTCATAGATATTGGTCATATTGTTTGCCTGCCTCTGTCTCAAAGGATGCTTAAAGGTGAGATGATTAAACTTCTAGAAGTAGAAGGAAGGCAAAAACTAAGATAAAGAAGCGTGGCCTGAGCATGGACAAGTGGGAGAGGGAGGTGGACACTAAGTCTTGTCGAGTGGCTGCAGGTGGCGTTGGTTCAGTTGCTGTGTACTCTGCCAACCAGGTTTTTCCTTCCTTAGTACACCGATCTGTTACCCAGCACAGGTTCTCACTGGTCAGAATCTCAGAATAACCATCCCATCCATCAAACCTTGAACAAAGTTAGTCTTTTTTCCCCCTAATTTCATTCTTTCTCTCGTTCTTTCATGTCATTCTTTTTGCCATCCACCAAATCCTAAATTCTGCCTTTCTCTAAAAGTGTTTGTAATTCAGTTGTCAATTTACTGGCCAAGTTCCTGAGTAGATTGCTAAATGGGCACTCTTTCCCCAGGCTGAGTGCCTGCATGGTCTTTTGCCCCTATTCTCCCAATGCCTCTCACCTCGGTTCCTATCTCCTTTCTCATGTGTCACTCAGCATGGATGCCACTGAAGGCTGCTGAGAGCTAGACCTACTGGGATCATTCTTACTTTAGCAAAGACACATAACTCATCATTTCTTCTATAGAAATACTGGCTCCTTTAGAGAACAAGAAAGAGGTTCACTAGCTTCTCAAAGTGCAGAGCAGTGTTAATTCCTTTTCCTCATCTTGCCATCTGAGGTGCACTGGCCTTTGCTCACTGGTTTGCTTTGCTCTGTCTTGCAGTGACCTCTGCATACCACTTTTTGGACTCTCTTTGTGCTAGATGACCTGAAGTGTTGCCTGCCAGGTCACTCAACCCTTGGAGATGTTATGGAGCTGGGTTTCGTTGTAGCTCCTGGATCCTCAGAAGCATTAATGTTGGATCTGTGAAGCTCTAGGCAGGAATCATTGAGAACCAGTATGATTTAATTCAGAGATTAGATCAAAGTCAGAGGAAAATACCGTGGAACTCATGGGAGTTTTTCACTTCTGAAGATTCCAGTTTCCATGTCCTTTCAGACTTTCCATAGTACCAACTCTTCTTCTCATCAAAGACCATAAAGAGTAAGACAAATTCTCTCATGTCCACAGGGATGTTGCTCTGCTTGTGAAGCGTTCCTTTTCGGCAGATCAGAAGGGGCCCTATCAAGCCCGAGTGGATGTCTTTTTCCTGGAAGACAGGAAGAGCAAATTGCATGCATTCTCCTTTGTTCAGGATCTTCTTTGGTCTCTTGACAATTATATAGAAAAAGAAATAAATCCTGAGAGACTCTGCATTTAAAGATTTTTAATGAATAGTTTAATAAGCCTGGATATTTACTTCTGTTGTATTCATATTTGTCCTCTGATTGTGCTGTCCTTGATCTCAGTAATACTGAGGATAATAATAATACTGATAACATAATGGGTATTGTTTACTGAGCATCTATACTATATTAAATGCTTTGCCTTTAGTATCTCATTTAATTTGGAAACTATCTTATATAGTAAATATAAATTCATTTACTGAACAGATATTTATGAAATGCCTAATATATGATGTGTACTGTTATCCCATTTTTAACTTTGGAAACTGAGGGTGAGAGAGGTCAAGTAATTTTCCTAGTGTTGCGCAGTGACAGGGTAGGAATTCAAATCTAAGTTTTGGGGCTGGGGATGTAGCCCAGTGGGAGAGCACATAGGACTCCTGCAGGAGGCCCTGGGCTTAATCCCCAGCACCCAAAAAACAGAACAACAACAACAAAAACCAAAAACAACAATACTCCACACCTACATCCGTGCTCTTACTACAGTAGCTTAAATGAAGGACCCCTTTTGTGATTTACCAATAACTTGTAAACTTGTCATGTATAACATATGTGTTTTGAGTTATATATACATTGTGAAATGATAAAATGAAAGGTTCTTGAGTTTTTAGTTTTTTCATTAAGAGCAGAAGGAAGATAATACTTGTTCAAGAAAATCGCAAATAAACATAAACATCTTTTTCTGCAAAAACAGGGTTCTAGCTTGGGTCCAACAAGCATTTTGGTAATTCTCCCTCCTCTGTTATTTGAAGGGAGTTCCCAGTTACTGTTACCATGTGGTAACTGTGCAGCTGACCACAGGCTTCCACGTCTCTCATAAACACAAGACAGGCTTTTGACAAAGAGCAACCTAACGTTTCCACTTGGTGGACTTGGGTGGTAAGGTTGGGGGAATGGCAAGAGCTTTCGATGGCAGTACATACCGGATTCACAGCTGAGTAGTATGCCCAAGCCCGGCAGGCTGAGCCAGGGTTCTCTGGCCCTGACTGGTCGGTGGCATGCCATACATACGTATAACTCTTATTGGGCTGAACAGCATTATCATCCTTAAACCATTCAGGAGAATCGTCTTCATAAGTCTTTCCTTCTGATGATTTCTCATAGGCCAGTCCATGGGCATGAAGAGAATATGGCCTAGATGCTAAATTTTTAAAACGAACCTAGGAAAAGGAACAATCCATACATGTACTTAAAGCAAAAATCCAAACCAAGATTTGGCACAGTGGTGTATTATCAGCAGTTTGAGCTGCTGGAGAGACTAAGGCAGGAGGATAATAAATTTGAGGGCAGGTTGGGTGACTTACTGAGACATTGTCTCAAAATACAATAAAAGCTTGAGATGTGAGAGGCCCTGGGTTCAAATCCTACACGTAAATAAATAAGGCATAGAGAGGTTGAAAAGGATGTGAAATGACCAGGATTGAGAAGAGCCATAGACAATCTGCTTGTTTGGGGAGGATACCGAGGCACCTTTACTTCCTTACTAGTTCTCTTTAACTTGAGTTTTTTTTTCTTTTAAGAAAACAACAGGAAATTACAGTGTGATCTTTTCCAGCTTATATAGTTTTCAGCACTTACAAAATATGAGATCGTTGCTTTTGTCTTGAAGACTGCCACATGGCTTAGCAAGCATTGAGAAGAAATGCAAGTATGTGTTAATTCTGGAAAATCAAGCATCTATACTTCTTTTGCTATTTTCACCTTTCCAGCCTCTGATGCTTGTGGAAATTCCTCTAATCACCTTGGTAGCACTCAAAAGAGGACTTACTTGTATGACATCATCCACTTCGGCTCTAATAATCGGACCGAGAATGCCGAGATGTTCCTCATACTCGCCCCGTGGGTCGCGTTTGGTAAAAGTGCTGTCCAGGTACTTTCGGAAAACGACTTTCTTGTATGTGGTATCCTTCCGAATGTCATCGCTGTCTTCATTGTCAGTTTCACTGAATGGTAACAATAGGTTTTGTTGAAAAGAAGAAATGAAAGTCTGTTCAAGGAGTTTATGAAATTGTCTCTGTTTCTCAATATAGTATCGAGTACAGAAAATGAAGAGCAACAAAAACTATGGTGCACATCTTAAAGAGTACTACACAGCCATAAAATAAACTGACTATTGCTGTATACAAAAGCTTGGTGAACCTCTGGAGAATTATGTTGAGTGGAAAAATGCAGACCCCCGAAGGTTATATGCTACACAATTCCATGTATGTAGTTTTCTAAAGTGATAGAAATGGAGACCAGAGTAGTCATTGCCAGGGAATAGGAAGTATGCGGTGGGAGAGAGGCAGATTAAACTATACAAAGACAGGAGGGATTTTTGTAGTGAAGGAAAAGTTCTGTGTCTTGATGCACTGGTTGTGATGTAGTAAAGTTTTAGAAGCTGCTATCACTTGGTAAAACTGGGTAAAGGATACAAGGAATCTCTGTATAAGAGTACAAGTATAGCACGTTATTACCCATGTAGCTCATCAGCATAGTCTGGGGCCAGAGCATGTCAAATTGTCCTGCTGACTCTCAAATTTCCCGAGTCTATGGGATAATCCAAAAGCTCATCCATCGACCTATATGTGCTGCATTCCATCAACAGAGAATCTTGTTCTGCCTGCCTTCTGTTATCTTCCCTACAGTCTTCATCCATCTGGACTCTGAGCTTTGCATACAACTTCACAGAGCATGTTGGGATAGGCAAAGCAACCTTATCCTTCATAACAACAGGTTGCAGGCTTGGAACAGGATGCAAGAGTGTGAAGGATCTGGTTCCGTGACTTTCCACTCTGCATACCCCCTAATCCTGTCCCCACAGGGCCTGGTTTAGAAGTCCTTATACAATGAGCAATTCTTATATAGTAACGGGTGCTACATTTAAGTAGGAAGTCATAGAAAGCATTTTGAACAGAGTTCTAATGTGGAAACCTCAGGCATCAGATTAACGAGCTAATGTGTACAAATCATCCTGTAGATTGTGTTTGCCTCCTCTAATTATACTTCATTATTTTGTTTCATTTTGTGGTACTGGGGATTGAACCTAAGGCCTCTTCACCGAGATACTTTCTCAGCCCATTTTAATATTTTTATATCAAGACAGGGTCTTGCTAAGTTGCTAAAATGCCAGGTGGGCTCAAATTGTGGTTCTCCTGCCTCAGCCTCCTGGAGTGCTAGGATTGCAGGTGTGCACAACCACAACCAGCTCGCTTTGGCTTTTAATTAGTGTGACAGCTTTTATAAGAGCTGTGGGCCACTGTAGTCACCATGTTGTATCCCTGAGAGCCTCTCTATGACCAGGGATTGCTTCTTTCCTCCACTCTGTAGCGCCCAGAGCAATTATGACTTTCTACTCTTTACTAATAATGAATTAAAGATGATCTTTTGAAAATATAGTTCTCTTAGAAACTCTGTATTATAAACAAGTAAATGCAAAAGGAGGTTTCTATATCAAGATTTGGATTTAAAGCCAACTTTAATGAAATCATATTATCAGATAGCTATGGATAGGTCAGGCTCTACACTGGAGCAGAAAGGGGGTAAGAACATCTGTTACAGCAGAAGGAGAGGTGAGAGGGGCTTCTTTACTTATAGTATATCACAGACTTCTCACTAGGATTATTTTCTTACTGTCCAGGTATTGTCTAAAATAGAGAAGCTAATTTTGAAATTGACAAAGGAAATAGTACAGGTCAAGTTGAAATATGGGAACTAAATTATATTCTATAAAATTTGCCCAGAATTATTTTCCTGGACTGTTGTATTTTTTTTATCAGTAGTGAGAACATGGTAATATAAAGGGAGAAAACTAGCCAAACCTTTGTGCAAATTCTGCATAATCCCAGAATATTTCTTCAGCAGCAATATAATAATATTTTCTGTTTCCCTTGTTGCTGCGGAGGTACCACGCTGCAATGTTGTCAGGATTTCTGGAAGAGTTGATGTCTGTCCTCCTGTCAGTTTGGTAGGGGTCATTGTAAGCCACATACTCAATTTCAGCATAGTCTTCTTCACTGATTTGGTCTTTCTGCCGTGGAGTAATCTCAGTGAAATCTCCATAATCTCCACTTAAACCCACTACAACTAGTGGATTAAATTCATTTGATATGAAAGTATCATTGAGTTTAGGAGATGGGAGAGGAGATGGCATATGAACAAGGTCTGGATAAGAAGTCTGATTAAATTCTGAAAGAGGCAGCAACTGACTAGAGTTGCAAGGGTAGGATGCCTGATCAAGGTCTGAAGGATGTGATGTTTGCCTGAAATTTGGAGGAAGGGTTGTCTCACTGATGTCTGGAGAGATAGTTACTTGGCTGAGCCCAGGGGAATAAGGTATCTGGTTGAGATCTTGGGAGTGGGTCATCTGACTGAGGTTGGGGGAAAGTTTGGCCTCACCAAGTTCTGGAGACAGAGGCATCTGGCTGAGGTCTGGGGAGGAGGTCATCTGTCTGAGGTCTGAGGAAAGGCTGGTCTCACCAAGATCTGGAGACAGAGGCACCTGGCTGAGGTCTGAGGAGGTCATCTGACTGAAGTCTGGAGAAAGGCTGGTCTCACCAAGTTCTGGAGAGAGGGGCATCTGGCTGAGGTACGGGGAGGGGCTTTTGTGACTGAGGTCTGGGGAAAGGGGGATCTGCCCAAAGCCTGGGGAGGTGATTATCTGGCTGAGGTCTGAAGAGGGGGTCATCTGACCTTGGCTTGAAGAAGAAGATGGTTCACTGAGGCCTGAAGAGCTAGTCATCTGCCAGGCTTCATGTTCCAGAGCATGAAATTGTTGACCAATGTCAACAGGATATAACTCATGACTTAATTCATGCTTGAGCATCTGGCTGAGCTCTGGAGGAGAGGACCTGTGACTCGGGTCTGTAGTGGAGTGCACTTGATCAGTGTCTTGAATAGGAGATGTTTGATAGTGTTCCTCTGGGGGCACAGTCTGATAAAAATCTGGAGGGGAGCTTGCTTGACTAGTGTCATTTGGGAGGCTCAGATTATGGTTAGGAAGTGAGCCTATCTGGACAAGATTGATAGAGGGGGATGTTTGATTGAAGTCTGTGGGAACAGATGTTTCATTGGACTTAAGGAGTAGTAATGAATGGTTAAGTTTTCTGTCTGAAAATGCGATGTAGTCTGCTCCTCTGAGAGGGTAAATGCCCCTTACAGAGAGTGGGATATGGTGTGCAAGCTTCGGTTCCTTTTTCTTTTTCCGTGTTCTGATGAGAAATGGTCTTTTCTTCAATCCACTATTTTCTCCATGCTGTCTTACTTGTAGAGATTTATGTCTAACTCCAGAAAACTTTGGGTGGTCACTCTGTTTTCCTGGATTGTTTTCAGGGATGCTTTCTCTCCAAGTCCTTGAGACATTGTGGGGGCTGTTTAGCAGCTCATCCATATTTTCATTAGTATCTTGGGTTATTTTATAGCCACCTTTTTCAGAAGCCACATGCCATTTCCCTTCCAAAATCTTCGATGGATTCTTTTGTTTTAAGAGTAGCAGATTACTGGGAAGATCCTCCAAGGGTCCCATTTTTGAAGAAGTGTCATCTTGGTTTGAATGTCTCCCAGTTTCATGGGCTGGTAATATCATCCAGGAAAACCTGTGATTTGCTAATTGGTTTCTTTTTGCTCTGTATGCTTTGTGTTTAACATATTCTGCATCTCTGAAACCTTTTTCATCTAGGAGGCTTATCTCTGTAACATCTGACTGTAGAGGATCTTCTATCTGGTCTTCATAATATGGGCTGGAATACTCTGCTGTGGAAGAGTTGACAACTGGGTTCTTGTCTAAGCCACTGAGGTGTCCCAAGAGGTGACCAGCTTTGGATGCTCCTGCATGAGGAAGGGTTTTCTGGGGTTCTGTGAGGTTACTGACAGTGGAGCTTGAAGATGAAGAATTGGAGCTGATAGATGCATCTGTACTTGGAGAAATGAGCTCAGAGCTGTTCTCCAGAGCAAGGGCAGTAAGATTGAGTTCATCTTCTTTCTGACCCAGGGATGAATTTCTGAATGACCTAATTCCTAATGAGGAAGCCAGGATATCCTGGTAATCATCATCTGGATCAGTCTCCTCTTCTTCATTTTCTGAAGGAGGGTATATCTTCCGTACAGCCATGGCTGTCGGTGATAGAGGTTCATAAATCTCGTATGAGTCTTCATCATCATCCCGCATACATTTAACATCCCTGAATCTCAGCTGGAGGCCTTTGTTTCTTGGACTGGAATTCATGGTAGTCAACACCCAAGTTCCTTCAGAAGAGAGACAGAGAGAAGGTTGAAAGTCCAGGAAAACACATAAAAACCCTGGGATCACTTGTAACAAGTAATTTTTACTGAACTTTAGAGACACAAGTGTGACCTGTGGACCACTGTTGGTGTGTGCACTACTGGTTACTGGCACATGAACATATAAGGAGAGAAACTGGGACTAATGTATTTAGGCTGTTGTTTTGTTTTGTGTTTTAGCAACTGAACATTGCTGTGACATCCAAGATGATGATCAGTACACTTACCTCATTTAACAGAATACAGACTAAAAGTATTGGTGGGTGGAGATTAGGGAGAACAGAAAAATCAGCACAGATAGTTCAAGAGTACTGTTTTAGAATATATTAAGAACAGGGTGGATCAGGAGTGAAACAGACTTTGAATATCATTAACATCTTGTTAGCTGTACCTGGTTTGAGAGTTGGAATTAGGATGATGACGATGATGAGGTCTATTCATAAGTAAGAAATAGCTAGGTATTTCTAAGAAATAATTCATGTGGGGCAGGGCAAGCTTGAATCTCTTCAAAATAGTATGAGTCACTGACAAGAGTCTTGGGAAGTCTCCAAGAGCTACCACTTGTTGAAAGCTGGGCACTAGGCCCTTATTGTAATTGATGGTCAAGAAGCTCTGTAAAGTATTACTGTACTTTTTTAGGTGAATAATTTGAGGTTTTGTGAGCCCAAGTAATTTGTCCATGATTATAAGAGACTGAGCTACAGAGCAGGATTTAAACTCAGGCCTGAACTCCGAAGCTGTCTCTGAGGCAACTCTAACGCACTCTATTTGATAATTGTTAACCCTAGGGTAGATGGCAGTCTTAAAATATTTGAAAAGGGCATTTTAATCAATGAAATGTTTCTTTGCTGCTGAAATATTCATGCTTCTTTATTGTCTTTCTGCTGTCATGTCTTTATTTCCCACGTGGTCCAGAGATGTATAAATGCAACTCTATAGAAAAACGAGACCCAGTTAAGTCAACAATTTTGTAAACAGAAATTCTGAAAAACACTGACAGGAAAACCCGCAGGAGGTTAGGAAGATACCCCAGGAGCAGCGGTCATCTCAAGAGCTGCAGCAAACCCTACAGACCACAGGTCCAAAGTCAGTTCCTTCTCCAAGTGTCTGTGTGCTTACTCACCAACGTTATCCATTGTGACAGTCACAGACTCTCCACGCATGGGGAACAGGGTCAAGGTGTCCTCATGCCTCTTTCCATAGATAAACGAGTGCCCAGTGAAGTGAATGGTCAAGATATCATCCTGGGTCCCCACACTGCAGAAATGCCACTGGACAGTGTCATCAAAGCAGAACCCTAGAACAGGTATACTCTGGGGCACATAGCCATTGATAGCTGGAAGAGAAAAATCTGTTAAACTGCCAGGCCTGTACCAACAAAAGGTCATGCATCTAAGATAAAGCTACCAGTGTTAATTTGGTTGTGTCAAAGATAAGCTTTGCCAGATCTAGCATGTGACTAGAAGATCAGATTCACACTTCTCAAATGAGAGCTTTTTCTCCTGAGTTAACTGAAAAAGAAATGTCAAGATGAAGGTAAAGCTTTTTCATTTGCATTGATTTAGTCACTCATTTGTCAAATATATATTAAGTATTTTGTGCTCTTTGTGTTGCCTTTAAAGATATTCTAAAAATTAACTTAGAATATTGTCCAGAATAATCTATCTGGAGGAAAATCAGAACATAAAACTCCATCTTCTTGACTTCAGTCATTAAGAATGAGTGTTCCTAAAAAATAAGCCCGTTTAACATATTTTATTATTTTTATTGTCATCTATCATCATCATCTATGTAAACTATAGTTTTCATACAAATATTGAGTTCATATTTTTCATTATGTTTAAGAGATACACTGCTTTAAGCTATATCTCAATTACCTTATATACTAAGATGTGATTTCTCAAAGGGTAGGGCCCTTATTTACCTGGGTTACCACTATAGCCCTAGTACTAATACAATGTCTGACACTTAACAAATTTTTAAGTGGCTCTTTAACAAATACATGTTGAATCAGTGAAATAATATGTTATTAGTTTATATCTTATTCTAAATGCTTCCTACCTGGTCTACAACAACTACATTATCCAGTATAGTAGTCACTGGCTACAAGTGGCTATTGAACAGTTGAAATGTGGGTAGATTAGATTGTGATGTGCTATCAGAATAAAATACACACTGGATTTTGAATAAAGCACAGTATATTAAGTGAAAGTCGAATAAAGCAAAGTATTTTAATAAGTGAAATTATTTACTAAGTGAACATTAGTTTCACTTATTTCTCTCGTTTTATAATGTGGTTACCAGTAAATATAATTTCTGTTGCACAGTGCTGGTGTAGAACTATGGCAGATTCACTACTGAAATGAAATTATGTGAAGAAAGCTGAGAATAACTCCGTTTGGAATTATTTGTCATGGCACCTATCTGCTGGGATAATACCGTTTGTCCGTCATCTGCAGCCTTATGAGCAAACCTGTAGAAATTATTCTCATAGGTATGATTATTTATCTGTCAGATAAGGTGAGCAAGGTGGGTCTTGACTCTGTGGAGCAGTACACGGAACTCTGGCTGTGGGGGAAAAGTTTGCTTCCAGCTGCCTCCATGAAATTTCTCTTAGACTTCTTATGACAGTAAATTTGGAACTGTGTAGCAAATTCTGAATACATCCCCTGCCTCTGAACTTCTTACCTCACACTTCAAAATTCCTTCTCATGCATTGTTTTTTCAAGATTCTTGGGTCTTGGTACTTGCTTTACTTTGACTTGACAATCCAGCTTTGGATTACTTATATTATTTCTTCCCTGACTTTAAAGAAAGAGTATTCACACTGTACAAATCTATACTCCTGAGATTCTGCTGGCCAAGACCTGTAGCACCATCCCTCTCTGGCTTCCTCTCTGCCCAGAGCACAAGCTTATGCATCACACTGGGAGCAGGATAACTAGGGTTTTAACTGTTGTTTAAAACATAACGGGCCTTAGTTATGATCGTATCACCCAGGGGTTTCATCGACAAGCTCTTGAATCGTAAGTGAGATAAGACAGCTGCTCTTTGGTGAGTATATTCTCATCTGTGTCTCTGCTTCTAGACACAGGCATACTCCAACCAATTGAATGAAAACCTCACGGATAACAGGGCTCTGACTTACTGCTCATTATGTTTGATTGATAAAATTTGGGGTCATCCCGTTTCACCATATCAGGATTTTCACAGAACTTGTGGATATTGTCTTCGATGTACCAGCTCTTGTTCTCATCAAACACAGCAAACACAACCTGCTGCTCGATGTCCGCTGCCCTCTGGAGGATGAATGGGCTGTTTTTAGTGATTACAGTGCCAGCTGATTACCTATTAACACCAAGATCTCAGATACTCCAGGAGCCCTGTCCTTGATGCTGCTGACACTTCATAATTCAGTCAGTTATAAGAGCCTGTTACATACCAAGCATTTGTCAGAGGTAGAGCCAAGTAAAAAACCTATCAGAAAGTCCAAAGACTAGAAGATGGTTCCAGGACAGCACAGCAACTGAAATCTGTTTATGTCTGAAATGGAACACCTTCCAATAGAAAGACTGGCTGAATGTATCTCAAATCATTTTAAAAGATAAAAGAAGGCTGTGGTAGGAAAGCTCTATGCCCCTCTCTACCCATTTCCCGATTTATCTCCAAAGATCAAGATCTTTAGGCAAATATTGTTTCTTAACAAATATGCTTATTTTGTAAGCCTTGGGGTAAGACCTGTGCTAAGCCCAATTGGAAATTTCAGGTCAGTAAATGAGACTATTAATCTTCAATGAAGATTAACCCAGAAGAGTGAGATCTTTGTCCACAATCTTTTGAATAATTTAGTCTCACCAGACAAAGACGACTGTCGGGCACAGCCATCACTAGAAACTGTCTCTAAAAGCATTTGCTTTCTGAGACTCTTTCCTATTTCTCTGTATTGTAGGTCTCGAAAATTAACAAAAGTGGGAACAGAGCTTTATACTTTTGCCTGGTGGTATCTCACTAACTCCACACACCAGCCTACAAAGTTTTTAGGAGGAGTATTATAAAAGGAAGAAATTAGGAGAAGCAGAGCGATTTACTCACTGCACAGTCAGTAAAAATAGACCTGGACTTTGAAACGAAACCAAAATGCAGTATCACAATAAAGACTCACTTTGGGCAGTGAGCATCCAGATGAAAACAGACAAGACAAAAAAATTAACCAGAATGATAAGTGTTATCACACATACTAAAGAATAACTAATATTTACTTTTCTTTAGAAGGAAAAGCCCCTTTGTTGATCAAGGAGACCTAATTGTTCCAGCCAGAAGAAATGCCTAGAACTTTTCTTCACCTATTTTTTTATTAGTATATGATTGTGGCACATAATGATTACATTCATCTTGTACAGAAACACACTGCTTCTTAATTTCTAAAAGGGTACCTCAAAGGTAGGTAAAATACCTGTATGCCTCGCATATCCAGGGATCTGCTCTTACAAATTAGAAGAAGCCCTATCAGGCCAGAGGCAATGTCCCTGGTGACATCTACATCACTGTAGTATGGTCTTGTTAAGCACTGTGCGTCACTGTCTGTGGGTTCATCAGACTCGAGGATGTTCCATTTATAAGTATAAGTTTCTCCGGGCTGAACTGCACGGATCATGGTGTGGTTGCCTGGAAGGAAATGGAATAAACATTGCTTTCATTTGGAAAATTATTTAACTTATAAATAGGTACCTTAGTTCTGACTAGAACCAGTTAATATCAGGAAAACAGTATTCTTTGTATATTTAACACTACCCGGTGTGATCAAAAAGTATGCTGAATGTTTAAATGTTTAAGAATTTATTACAGTAAAAGACACATGCCATTAATCCCCCCAAATACTCTGCCATGCTTTGAATGCACTTAACATGCTTGTCACTTTCAGAACCAGTTCTAGAAGTTCTCTCTCCTGCGTGTCTTTAGTTCTTACTGCCTTGATGTCCTGAATTCAGTGGAAATGTTTACCTTTCATGGTCATTTTGACTCTGCAGAAGAGCCAGAAGTTTCATGATGGAAAATCCAGTGAACACAGTGGATGAGGATATGCTGTAATATAGTTTTATTCAACAGAAGTTGCTGTAAACATTTTGAATGGATTCAGGACACTGAGGCAACCATAAAAAGACATTCGCAAAAGAGGACTTCCAGAACCACTTCAGAAATGGAGAAGAATGATGGGCTAAGTGTGCTCAAAGTGAGGGAAGCAACTTGTGCAAGATGAATGGCACCGTGCCTTTTACCGCAATAAATCTGTGAAATTTTTAATTTAAATATCCACCCCATTTTTGAGTGTGTATTTATTTATTGATTGATTGTACTGGGGATTGAACCCAGGGCCTTCATACCGAGCTGCATCTCCACCTCTTTTTCCATCCCATCTTTTAATCACACCTCACACCCGACTCCCAGATAGCACATAACCATTTAATACTGCTCCACTAGAGGTCACTATGACATGAACAAAGGATACTGTACCATGTTTAGTAAGCATAGACAGGCAAAATTCCTGAAATGAGCAGAGCTTGGTTGTGACACTGCATATATACTACTGACTGCACTGGTTACAGCATGATGCAAGGAGGAATGGGAAACCATGGCAACATCTAGAGTCACTAATTTCAGTAGAAATGAAAGATTCCCACCTGAGGTAGAGGAAGAGTTGACATCGTCTTCATAAAGGGAGAAGGTCACTCCATGAGGGTAAATGCTGTAGGGTCGACTGGCCGAATTTTTGAACACGATCTACAAAATTAAATAAAATACATTATTTCAGGATTTAAGGTAACCCATGAGAGTTAGCTTTGCATATTTACTCTGTGTGTGTGTGAGCTCTTGCACACAGTTAGTGGGAGAATTAGTTCTGTACATGATTTGCAGCCTCCTGCCGTTATTGTTAAGAAACCTTTGAAAGAGTTGAACTCATGTGAAGGTAGAAAATACAGGTGTCTGATTTTAAAGGACAGGTGAGGAGAAATTACATTTTCCTTCTAGTCTGACTGCTGCCTCCCTCCCATTCTCTTTTTAGCTGGGGTCACATCTTTGAATCTAATCCTTCTCTCTAGGTCACAGTCTCCATGTCCTGTCTACCAGGTCTCCTGCAAACCCTGTCATTGAAGACTTCTTTCGGGGGACTGTCCAAGAGCCAGATCTGAATTCCCGAGAACCTGTGTTTACAATTCCTAAAAGCACCTAACAGGAATCAGAAATGAGGGAAGGGCAAGAGACATAGAATCCTAACATTTTGGTCCTCGTGTGTGTGTGTGTGTGTGTGTGTGTGTGTGTGTGTGTGTGTGTGTATTTATTTTTGTGGTACCAGGGACTGAACTCCAGAACTTGTACTTGCCAGACAGACATGGCACCACTGAGCTACATCCCCAGCCTTTTGATATTTTTAAAATGACAGAATAAGCTTTGTCTAAGACAGTGGGGGTGGACCTATGGCACGTGTGTTATTCTTTTAAGGCAAAAGATGTTTTTTCTAAATTAAAACCTCCGCATTCAGATTTAATCATAGCATTGGCACTTTGCAATAAATAAGTGGGTTTCAAGTTGGACTTTGGAACTCAGTCTCTGAAAGGTTTGCCATCTCTGGTCCAAAGCATGATCCACACAAGAGTCCTAGTTAGGCATAGTAAGCTTCAAAAGAAAACCTTAATCCTCTACTTGGTTGATCGCCAAAGCCTTTGAAACATCTTTAATCCACAGATTATCTGCATTCTAGGATCTTGCCAAATACTATAACCTTTAATTCTCTGTTTTCATTCACCTTGGTGAAGTGATGTTCAGGAATATTTAAAGAGTATTATCTGAGGAAAACACCAAGCTCCTGGTACATATCAAAATTTACCTTAACCAGGACCAATCATTGGTGAGCCACATAGCTAGACCACATTACAGAACTGTTTATACTCAACTGTGTTTGCTGTGATGTTCTCAGTGACAACAAGAAATATCATTTTAAAAAGCTGTTCAATTTTTAAATCTATTGACAGTTGTAGGGACGAGTCAAGGTTACCATCTGCTACATCATGCAGAACCCCCATTAGAAGAATCCATGGCAGAAGGTTCTTTGAGGCTTTGGTATCTGGGGGAAGTAATTCTTTTGTGGAGGTGTAGATCTACCTCAGGTGTATTTCCTTTTCACTTTAGGTATTGTGAAGCCTAGGACAAACTTTATACCTGGCCTCAGATCACAAGGTATGGATTTCACTTTTCATATTTGTGGCTTTATTTTCTTTGTTCCTGTGTTGTCTTTCACCCCAACATGTTGACTTTTATTTTTTTATAATGTGCAATCTTCCCCCGGTCCTTATATTCCCGAATTGGTTATAAATAAATGCAAATACTAAATTAAAACTAAAAGCTGCATTTGCATTTAAGATTATACAAATATTTTTTTCTTTAATTTTCTTCCCAGGTTCTATATTTACGTTACTTACTTTGAGTGTGTCTCTGACCTGGGCTCTAATAATAGGGCCCAAAATCCCATTTTCATTGATTTTGGTATTGTCCATGCGTTTGGTAAAGCTCTCATCTTGGTACTGTTTGTAAACAACTTTCTTATAAATTTTTCCAATTTGGTTTGAGAAATTATCCAAGTGCAGAGATCTGTATAGTCTTAAAGTAAAACAAAATAGTAATATTTGAAAAATTAAACCATTTCCTCAAGTAGAGAGCCCAGTAGGATTGGGGAAGAGTCAGGTATCTCTGGGTCTGTGCTGGCTGAAAGAATAGGATAAACTAGGAGTGTTTTTTAAAGTCTTTCCAATCACTTAATCTAGGGTACTCTTATTGGCTTTCTAGATATTTTTAATCTTCCAAAACATCTTCCCATCCTACAAGGTTTTACTATATTTATTAGTTCTAGTTCTGGCTATGGGGCTGTCCCTTCCACCACCCACCCAACCCTAGGTGCTGGCTGAAAAGCAACCCCCTTTGCCCAGTTTCTGTAGCTATTGGGATAAATGACCTGGGAGTAGTGAAGTGAGCCACTCTCCCTCTGTCCTCCTCTTTATCACCTTAGTTTGCAAGAACAGAAGCTCTCTAGTAGAGTATGTATTTCATGTATTTGTTTTTTAAAGTAAAGACCATTGACTACTACCCAGAGGTCCCAAATTATTGTCTCCGTCCTCTCACTATATATTCTTGGCAGAATTTCTCTTTTGTTGCCTTGCAAGTGCAAGGACCCGAGTTCAACCTCCGGTACAAAAAAAAAAAAAAAATTCTTTTTTGTTCTCTTCCTTAGTTTAGTTTTTAAAAATAGGAAATACATTCTCACAGTTTTTATTACAGTGAAAGTTCTCACTCATGTCTGATATCCTCTCTGAATTTTCTTAATTATTAATTAT